TGGGCTACAAGATGGCTGTGACCAGCCACGGGGAGCAAGGAATGTGTCCATCAGGCTGGGACCTGCTTTCTCCCTTTTCTATCACTTTCTTCCCTGAATCCGATATCAAAGTTAGCGTGGAATGTGAAGTGTAAAATGGTGACATCCCTTGCTCTCAGCCCGCTCCCCCCTTATAACTATTAATTATTTCCAAGCCATTGTGTCCAATACTCTAGCTGGGCTGATTTCAGTGTATTGATTTAGGCTAGGCTCATCCTACGCTTTCATCTTAATTTATTTTCTTATTGCTTGACTAGAGGACCCAAAATGAAACTTATTCCTTCCTTTTTCTGTCCCCCCCCCCACCAGCCCCTTCATCTGGGTGGTTTAAGTAGAATAATGAAATTAATATGAACACTTCATTTGAGCTTCTTCAGCACACTGCTGAGGGCTCAGGATTGCTCTCACGGCAGGCTCCAGGTATTTTCCAGGATCAGATTTCTTATTCTGTCTCTCCTCTTTAAGCAAGAAGGCTGCGGGAACATTTTGGGAGCCCTATGCACTTCACCTTCCTTGGGCCATAGCCTGGAAGAACTTACAAAATAGCTAAGCTGAGAAAAACACCCAAGGATATCTAAGGAATTTTTTTCTGTTCCTGAAAATGTTTTGGAGTATCCTAAATTCTTGCCTTTCTTGCACTCTTATTTTTTCACAGTGAGAATGAGTTTTGGGGCTAGCTTGATGAGAATTTGATGAGGGCTAGTAAGACTTGAGGTGGTTTCTATCCAGGGTTTGCTTGCTTAAGGAGGCAGCTAGGTTCTTGCTATTTTCTACTTCAGGTCTTTTTCAAGAATTCCATTCTAGTTTTGATTGTGAATTACCCATCTCTTTTGAGTCTGGAAAAAAAGAAAAAAAATGGGTCCCCCCATTCTTTCAAATGCCTCATAATTAAAGAGTATTAAAAGTATAAATGAAACTCAACCACTTACCATTCAAAAAGTGTCAACTAAAATCTTAGTGCAAAGGGGGGAAAGGGTTAGCATCTTGCCAGTGGCTGCAACTCCCTTACTCTCCCCCATTTTGGATTAGGCATTGTATGGGGGGGGGATTCACTTTTTTCTTTTTTTCTTCTTTCTTTCTTTCTTTCTTTTTTTTTTTTTTTTTGAAAAGTAAAGTAAACAGCCTCCAACTGCTGAACCTTGACAACCCAAATTAAGGAAGCAGGGGAGATCAAACAGAGCTGCTGCTGGGCTGTTGTCAGGGACTGCTGTAAGGGAGAACCCAGCAAGGCTATATGTTCACTTATGCAGAAATGGACCATTGCAAATGCTTATCTTTATTGTGCAAGTGAAGCCTCACTTGGAAGGAAATACCCAGCCTCTGGGTTGCATCTGAGTTCCTATGGATGCTGAATTGCTAAACAAGTTACTATTTTGTAATACATTTTCTTTATTTAGGAGAGCACATCCCAAAAGGTATCCAAAGAATATTAAGTCATCTGAATTCTGTCTTGCTGGCTAACCAGAACCTCACCATGGAATTCTTTTTTACCAGCATTAGACTCCCACACCAGTTAGATAACATTTTCTCACTTCCAGTTTAGAAGCTTTGCCTTCTCAGGGAAGCCAGGGTTTTATATGTGAGGGTTTAAGTGTGCTGTGTAGTTAAAAACAAAAAAGGAGAAACCCAAGTGATGAAGCCCACTCTCGGAATTTAAAAAAGAGGAGAGAGCCTTCTCTAGATTACACATGACCTCTTTTTTTTTTTTTTTTTTTTTTTTTTTGATTGACATTCAATATGACCAGCTGCTACTCTATTCAGGTTCTTTGTAACTTGGCCTCCCTTGTTGTCTAGGAAATTTTAACTACTTTACATTTTTAAGGAAAGTAGTAACAGTAACTACTTTAGCGTTTTATTTTCAGGGTTTATCAAAGTAAAACGAACTATCAGCTATTCAAAGTAGCTGTCAAATGCAGGGGTTTACATTGCTGGAGATGTCTTCAAGATACTATGTTTATATTTAAATTCTGAAGTGTAAACCATGTAATACTTTTTTTCTAGTTACTATCTCCAAATTAAATACCATCTTTAAGTAGAACAAAGTAGGAAATAGGATAAGTAAACATATACAGAAGAATAAAAATCATTGTCATTTAAGACTTGTATTTTTAATTAACTAGTGCCTGTCACATAGTGACTACTTTGCTTTTTTTTTTTTTTTTTTTTTTTTTTTTTTTTAATAAGCGAGAGTTTCATAACCATGGTACACAACATGTTTCAAAGTCTGGCGCTTTTATTGGGGATACCTTTATTGTATAATTAAGCAATGTGGGTTAAACATACACATGGATGCTGTTAGGCAATTTTCTGCGTATATCATGTTTTTAAAAAGCTGTAAATATTTTCTAGTAAAATCATTTGTACCAACAATAGCAGAAGTTAATCAAGTTAATATTGGGCCTAAGCATTTTTATTTTCCCTGTGACTAAGGTTTTCCTTACTTCTCTCCAGACCCCTGACTTTGTACATTTGCATTCTTATGCTCTGTGGAAGGGTGTTGTGTTTTTGTGTTTGCAGCAGTTGTTGAACAGAAGAACTGGGTTATTTCCCAAACAAATATATTTTCCTACAGCATGACCAATACCAGAATTATGAAAGAGAAGGGAGGGGAATAGCACATTTGACAGCCTCTTTTGAACCCAGTTTCCTCTTTGCAGTCATTCTCATTGTATGTATTTTTATTTGGTTATCACATTTTACTTAAATCTCAAACTTAATTTTGTACCTTTATCTTTTCCCTCCCTCCCTCCTTCCCTCCCTTCCCCCCCCCCCCACAGTGTATTCTGACAAGTTTAGGTAACAGAGGTCTGATCCCATTTCAGTGGCTATAGCAAGAATATTGTATAGCCAGAGTTTTGCCTTTTAAAAATAATTTTAGGCACATGTTAATCAAATTTCAATAGATTGCAGGCTGACAGAAAATAGTATAAATTTTGTTTATGATTTGGTTACTTTAAGGTACTTACATTAAGGAAACTCATTTAACCCCTGAGTGCAGAGCCCTGAGTAGTGAGGGGAGCTCTGCAAAAGCCTCCAGCTGCCCTTTGCTCTCTTGATAATCTTAAATTACTGCAATTTAATTGCAACTTCAAGGCATGGAGTATGGGCCGTTTCTGCAGGTTTCAGAAAGGGTTTCCAGAGCCTGCTTCGTTTACACAGGTGCTGTTTTTATTTAAAACAATTTTTTTTCTGAGTACTTTCTCCCCCTTTCTTATCCTGTTAGATATAATACCCTTCTATACATTTCAGTGATGACCATTTTTGCTAAGTAAGCAATACTGGCCATTGTCTTAAAGCATGTTTCAAAATCTAGAATATAAATAAAAGCCCTAAGCAGGGAATTGGTTGTCTAAAGAAACTAAACT